TCATTTCTCACAACTGTTAGCCACTGATGAAGCTGTTTCACTGCTTCCTTCTCCAATATATTGACTACTATCAGGAACACACTACCAGAACCTTGTAACAGATTCTCAATGACAGCACTGTGGCTGGAGTAGTATTCCGAATGACCAGCAAAATCATGAAGAATGATGTTACCCAGTGTCCTGTGTTGTAGTTTATAAGGAATGATGCCAGCAGTACAGGGCACTACCCCTCCAACATTTCTAAAGGAACCAAGAACAATAGAACCAGTAGCTGTGTCATTGATGACATGACTAAGAGTACTTTTACCAGCTCCAGGATTACCCACAAGGAGGACGTTAACATAAGAATCAATTGGATGAGATGATTTTATATCACCAAACTTCTTCAAGACAGAAAGAGTATCAGTGTGACCATTCTCCTTAGCTAGTGTAAATGGTGTTCTCCCCTTATTGTCTTTAGCCAATGGATCACATTTACCAGTTGATAGTAAATATTCAACAGTTGCAGAATAACCATAATAAGCAGTACGGTGAAGAGGTGTCTGCCCAGTCCTGTCAACAGCCATTGGATCACAGTGGCACTCATCAATGAGATACTTTACACTATCAATGTGTCTAGCAGCACTGTGAAGAGCAGTCTCACCACTATTGGTAGTAGCCATTGGATCACAGTGATGATGATTGATCAAGTACTTCATGACATCAAGTGATCCCGCTTTCTTAGCTGCTTCGTGAAGAACAGTATCTCCATACTTATCAGGAACCATTGGATCACAGTGACACTCATCAATGAGATATCTCATCACATCAACATGATTACGTAGTACAGCATAATGAAGACAAGTCCAATCCAGATCATCTCTTTCGTGTGGGTCACAGTGATATTTAGTGATGAGATCTTTTGTAACATCTAACCAGCCATGATATGAAGACAAATGGAGTAAACTAACATTATCACACACATATCTTCTTTTAATTTTATTCAGTTCCTTCACTAATGGTAGTAAGCGAACAGCTTCTTTATAATCTCCTCTCCTAAACGCATCCCAACACTTGTCCTCTAAGGACATCTTGTGATCAGTTAATTAGATTCATTGATACCCGCCCACGCATCAGGAATTCATTATCAATACATGAAGTACATTGTACATGTACATGTGTAATTAAAGACAATAATACAGTTAATAAGTGTATTTTGTATTTTTGTGTTTATTTCTTTTTCTTATTTATTTTATTTATTTTGTTTATTTCATTAGTGTCATTATGAATGCATGGAATCTGTACATTTACTGATGCACATGTACTTACATGTATGTTGTGCAGAATGTTTAAGCTGATTCCAATTAAAATTGAATTTTCAACGAATTTTTAAAGTTGCTCTAAAATTTGTCAAGAAATGCTTAAGCTATGTAGTAAGCTTAAATGGTTATAAATCAAATAATATCCACTAGTGTATAGCATCATAATTCATAGTTCATAGTAACTCTATACCAATAACAACATTAATAATAAACATAGTTTGAAACTAACAGTAACTATTCAAATAGCAATGTTACTAATAATAAACATAGTTTGATACTATCAGTGATAATTCTAAAGAGATACATGATGACAGCTCAGCTTTTACAACTCAACTAATTAACAAATGAATCAGCAAGTATCAGCAAAAATAATAATAAACAGAACAAAATGAAATACTATAGACAATCATCCACTAACTAATTATTAACAATATTTATCTCTAATGTAACTAGCAATAGGTTTCTCTTCTATTGTATCCAGTGCTGTAGCTAATGATGACCAACTGGGACCTCCTTTCTCTCTCACTTTATCTTCTCCTCTTAACCAGGCAGACATACACTGTATCAGGCATGGCTTACATTCTCTATGATCCATCTTTATAACATTTAGTGTTGGATCATACAATCCTAAATGAAGTCCAAACTGATACCATTTAGTACAATCCAATTGATTGAGTATTGTTAGCTCTTCAATGACAATATCAAGATCTTTAATATCTATAAAAATAATAATTAATAATGTGTATATACACTGTACAGTCTACACTCCCACTACTTGACAATTGTGATAGTACATATTATAACATACCTAGCTTTATTGGAGTCAATGGTGTCTTGAATTCTTCAGTTATTTCAATCACTTCCTATACAATAATACATTAATACAAGCACTAATAATCAAAAGGCATCCATTGTGATTTCATGATGTCAACTACTGTACATTAATGTATGCAGGTCTCATGACAGTAAGTGTAAGTCAACATCAGGTTACCGGTAGTTTTGTCTCTAAAAATGAAACTGCAATGATAATGTGGTCATAATGAAAGTAAACAGTACCTATCAACAGTTTTTAAGTTTAACAGATGTACAAGTATATATTCTACCATGCCTGGTTGCAACTGACCAATCAGATTGCAGAATACCAGGTTTCTAAATCTATTAGATACCTCCCAGGAACACTTAGATACCTCCCGGGAACACTTAGAAACCTGGCGCTCTACGCTTAAGCTCTTATTAGTCCATTAGCTCAAGCTTGGTTGATTCTTTACTGGCCTAGTCTATGTAAGTCAACTGTGGTCTTAAGGCCTTTCTACACTTGAACCGGTTCCAGAAGTCGGCTTATTAATGCGCATTGAATGGCATCAAGTGATTCCACACTATCTCCAAGATCATGTATATTTTAGTATTTCTGATCCAGCTGCCATTGGTTATCTATTGAAGGCACATTCAAACCACATATGGAGGTGGTTTGAGATAATGTGCATTAAAGTCAATGTGCATCAGGTGTGGAGTGACTGGAACCAGTTTCAAACCAGTTCAATGCGCATTAGAAGTGCTAGCAGGTTAGCGAGACTAAAGTGCTAGCAGGTTAGCGAGACTAAAGTGCTAGTGTAGAAAGGCCTTTAGTATCAGCAGCTGGTAGTTGTTTTCAAATGAAATAATTTTGACTTAGTCCTGCTATCAGTTATTATACACATGCTTTACTGTTGATGATATCTTAGAGCTACTGTTTACTTTCATTATGACCACATTATCATTGCAGTTTCATTTTTAGAGACAAAACTACCGGTAACCTGATGTTGACTTACACTTACTGTCATGAGACCTGCATACATTAATGTACAGTAGTTGACATCATGAAATCACAATGGATGCCTTTTGACTATTAGTGCTTGTATTAATGTATCAAACAGTTTGTGTGTGTTAATTCTTACCTTAATATCACATCCTCCTAATTCATACAGTTCATGTACAGTGTAGCCTCTATTATTAGGACACCTTTTAATAGACCTTTTTAAGAAGGATACCTTTATAATGAGAACATTTTGTACCTACATGTACATCCATTATACAATAGTATCATACTCTTACCTAGTGGTAGTATACAGTGTTCAGTTACAACTCTCTTAATGTCAGCTAGTGAAGGCATTGGCTCAATCTTCTCTGCATTCTTATCAGTGTTGTTAGGATCAACAGGCATCTGACGCAATGTGGTAGCTAAATAACTGAAGGAGCAAAGGAGAAAGGATGTGGATCATACACTGTATAATGCAATGGGATGTACATGTACATGAACAATGCTACCAATGCTATTTTAATACTGCTGTACCTAAAGTCCCCAATATAATCTGATAGATGATATTTTGGACATTTCATTACAACACCTTCTCCAGCCAATTCTTCATTAAGACTTTCAATAGTTCTGTAAACAATAACAACAACAACAATAATAATAACAACAACAATAGTAACAACAACTAATAATAATAAAAACAACTGATAATAAATGAATTTGTTTACCTATAGTGAGCCTCAATGAGCCTCCAAACACATATGAATCTATGGAATTTGTATGTACTTCCATGTACATATATTGTACAGAAAGTTGAATTATAATTAGATTTTCAATGAATTTTTTAAGTTGCTCTAAAATTTGTCAATACGTTCTTGTATGTCATGCTATATAGTGAGCTTAAATGGTCAAAAATTTGAACTCAGAATCAACTCAAACGTTTTACATTACTTAAATACACCAATATGCTTTTAAAATGTAATCGTTGGGATGATTTCAGAGCCACTTTTGGAAAAACTATGTATAGTGTAATTGGCTATATTTTCTTTCTCCCTTTAGTTTCATTTGCCTATTGCAGAGCTACTG